GCCCTAGCCCTATATAAGGAAGATGATCATCCCTCCCCTCACCCTCATTTTTCAGCCGCCACTCCCATCTCTCTCCCTAAATCTCCCGATCTCTCTCTCGCCCTCTCCCCCTCTCTCGTTATTTTTTTTAATCGGCCGCGCCCAGCCCTTCGCCACCACCCGGCTGTCGTGCCTCGTCAGACCCATCGTCGCGCGTCCAGGCCGTAAGAGAACCTCCCCAGGCCTCAGTTCACATCCCCCCGACGCCACCGAGACCCAGCAGTCGCGCCCGAGACACCCCCAGCGCCCGCGAAGCCGCCAACGCCCCCGCAGGCCCGCTTCCCCGCACGACCGTGATCTCCCTCGGCCCGTTTACTTCTCTCTCATGCGATTTATCCCGAGAACGGTACAAGACTGTTACTCCATATTATTTTAATATATATATGCCTTGAGATGATACCTTGTTGGGAGATCTCATGTTATAACTTGTTAAATGATCGATTTCTTTCGTATATTATTGATTTATGTCATTTGATGTGATTTTGTGATAAATCGTGTAAATTGCTGTGGATTTAAAGAACACTTGAAGTCTTTGGCCTTATGATGAAGGCCTTAGACGAAATTATTGGCTAATTTAATTGTTGTGCATTTTTGAATCGTATTGTGTTGTTGGATCTTCGAAAAATCATTTAAATTTTTATACTCGTCCGATTGCTGCGAAATTTTAACTGTATAACCTTCTGATGATGTTATAAGTCGTGTAAAAATTTCAAGTTAAAATAAGATCTGTAGCTATGTTAATTGCCGATTTGAAGATCTGACCAAAAACTTGTAAAAATCATTAAAAATCGAGTACTTGGTATTTTTCTGTGAATTTTGGTGAGAGTCATTGATTTGCTGAAATGTATGTTGTGTCCAAATTTCGTTGAAAAATTCAAAGGATTGCTTGGTGAACTAGAAAATTCAGATTTCAATCGTCTTTTCGTAAAAATTATTTGATTGTGTTAAACTGAAGTGTTAGATCTGAAAACCTTGTAAATATGTTCCATTCTGTGTCTATTTTTATGTGTTAAAATTTTATTTAAATCGGACGAGTAAATTTTAAAAACGGTCTGTCCTATGTGAAACCCTACCTGTCTGCCGGGCCCCTGTGCACGCTGCCAGCGCCCGCCAGCGCCCGCCAGCGCC